ACTTTTCGAAATTTGCTCAGGACCCCCGCTCCCGCCTGAGACTTCCTCACAATTTACTCAGGATCGGTGCTCCCGCCTGTGACTGCCTCGCAATTGTGTCAGGACCCCCGCTCCCATTTGAGATTTCTGTTCAATTTACTCAGGAACGGCGCTCCCGCTGGAGATTTCTAACTTAATCAAGACTCCCGCTCCCGCCAGAGAGCCCATCACGTTTTATTTCGGAATTGCGCTCTCGCCTGTGACTTCCATGCAATTTATGTAGAAATCGCGCTTTCGACGCTCAGCAAACACACTGCGCCAAGGACGCCGTCACAATTTACTTAGTGATCGCGCTCCCGCCATATTCAGGCATCCCGCTTGACTGTCCCACCCGCCCGACCCGCCCGTCAGGGGATCGCCCGCCCGTCGTGGGCTCCCGCCCAGGACTTCCTTCAGGAACGGCGCTGTCGCCTAGGACTCCCTCGATCGTTCACGCTCTTACCTTCCTGCTCCTCCTCCCTCTCCCTCCTCCCTCCTCCCTCCTCTCCTCCCTTCTCTCTCCCTCCTCTCTTCCCTCATCTTTATGCCTCTCTGCCCTATCCCCTCTCCCTCCTCTCCCTCCTCCCTTCTCCCTCCCCTCTCCTGCCTCCTCCCTGCCTCTTTCTTTATTTCTTTATTTCTCTCCCCTCTGTCTCTCTTTTTCTCTACCTCTCTTATATGTTTGTTTTTCTTTCTCTCTCTCTCTCTTTCCCTCTCTCTCTCTCTCTCTCTCTCTCTCTCTCTTTTTGCCTCTAATCAACCGCCCCCCTCTGCGCTCCTTCTCTCCTGGCGTTTTCCTTCTTCCTTCGTCCCTCCGCCCCCCCTTCCTCCCACCCTCCCTCGTTCTCCCCATCCTCTTTTCGCAGGGCCCACACCAATTCCAATGGCGGGCGCATGTACGCCCACGAAGGATGTTCCGCCCGTTCAGGTTTGCCCGCCTGTCCAAGCCCGCCGCCCCCCGCAAAGAGAAACAATCACCCCCAAAGGGGTGTGATCGAAGACAAAAAGGGCGGGTATCGAGGGTGTGGGGAATTCGTTTTGAATGACACACGGGCAAGTAAGAGCGAACAGTTTTATAATGATTGTGTTGTTGTTTTTGGTGAATACTCACTGCTAACACGTACTTACGGCTGATCTCCGGAAACGGTTCCGCGCGCTCTCGCCTTGACGCTGGCTACATTTTCTTTGAAAACGAGGCTCCCGCTCGAGCGTTGGCTTGAGCCTGAATGTGGGCCTTTGGAGGCCCAGCTGCGACAACAACGGCTCCCGTTTGATATTTCCCCACAATTTACCCCGAAACACCCTGGCCAGAGAGGCCCTTGAACTCAGGAGCGGCGCTCTCGCCAGAGATTTCCTCGCAATTCAATTAATCTGGCGGATGCCCAGCCACGACGACAAGGGCTCCTGCTCGATATTTCCTCACGATTTTCTCCGGGAGCCCCTGGCCAAGGAGGCCCCCGAACTCAGGAACGGCGCTCTCGCTCGAGACCTTCCCGGGATTCATGCAAGTTGGTGGAGACCCGGACACGGCGACAAAGGGCTCCCGTTCGATATTGCTCCATATTCCGAGAGCCCCTGGCCAGAGAGGCCCCCGAACTCGGGAACGGCGCTCTCGCTCGAGACTTCTTCGCACTTCAGCCAGGAGAGATTCTCTCCGAAAGGGGGTGCAATCGAAAAGAAATGGACGGGTATCGAGGGTTGGGGTATGCGGAATGCAAGACACGCGTGTCAGTAAGAGCGAGCAGTCTTAAAATTATTGTTGTCGTCCTTCGTGTCCCCCTCGCTGCCCTTCGTGGCCTCGTTGCTGCCCTCAGTGGCCCCGTCCTTGCCCTCCGCGGCCCAACATACGTATGCCCTTCGTGGCCCCCGCTTCTTCGCGCCCGTAGTGGCCCCATGTGCATGCCTTTCGTGGCCCCGCTGTCGCCGTTTCTGGCCCCCTCACTGTCCTACGTGGCCCATTTGCTACCCTCATTGGCCCCATCGTTGCCTTCTGTGGCCCCGCATTATCAGCCCTTCGTGGCCCCCGTTCGTTCGCGCTCTTCGTGGCGCCATATGCATTCCCTTCGTGTCCCCGCTGTCGCCCTTCGTGGTCGTGGCCTACTACGTGTCCTTCCGTGGCCCTGCTGTCGTTTTCTCTCGCTCCCGGTTTCGCTTGTCGTCGTCGTCGCCGTCGTCGTCGTCGTCGTCGCCGTCGTCGCCGACGTCGTCGTCGTCGTGGTCGTCGTGGTCGGTCCCGTGTCCGTCCATCCTGGGGTCGGGTCGACGGTCCGCGGCCGCCCCGCCGATCAGCGCTGCCGCTGGCCAAGCCGACGGTCCGCGGCCGCCCTGCCGCTTGCCAGGGCCCGGCCTGCAGGGAAGAAAGGTATGCCCCCCCAAAAAGGGTTCGATCGAAGACGAAGAGGGCGGGTATCGAGGATTCGGGAAATACGCGTTATTGGACACTCGAGCAGATAACGGCGGACAGTCTTAATATGATTGTTGTTGTTGTTGCTGTTGTTGTTGAACTCTCACCTTTGAAACAAAATTATTGTTGATCCCCCCGTCCGGTGCACATTGTTTTTTCGATTGAAGTGTCCTTCCCGGGGCTTGCACTTTGTTGTTTTACCAGGGGAAGTCTTGAGTGTCAAACTGTGTCGTTGGCCCCCGTTTTACAACAACAGCAACAACGGCTCCCGCCCGATACTTCTTCACAATTTAGTGAAGAATCGCGCTCTCGCTTGGGACTTCCTTGCAATTTGCCACAGGATCGCGGCTCCCGCTTGATACTTCCTCACAGTTTATTCGGAACCTCGCTCTCACTTGGGGCTTCCGCGTTCCTTTCGACACGTCTGCAGTTGACATTCTCCTTCCACCCCACTCTCCCAACATTCCGCTTCTTTTCAGGGTTCCACGAAATTTGTTTCTGACACTAGTTCGCAGCTGTACGTCCCCCTGTGGGGGTATCCACGATATGTTCTTTCAAGGGGGTGATACGTGGCGCTGTTTATGGCGCGACCCATGGCGAAACTTATTGTTAACCTGTGTTGGAGTGGCTGGCGCAAGCCATGGCGCAAGCCTAATCGCCACTAGCAGCGCAAAGCATCGTCCTCCCTCCTGCTTGCCCCTCCCCTCCCTTCCTCCGATCCCTTCGTCCTCATTATCCCCCTTATCTGTTGCCCTTCGTTTTCAAGGGCTTCACCAACCGCGCGTGGCAGGGAATGAATATACCCCCCGAAAAGGGGGTGCGATCGAAGACGAAGAGGGCGGGTATCCAGGGTTTGGGGTATACATATTGAATGACGCGCGAGCAGATTATAGCGAATAACCTTAAACTGATGGTTGTTGTTGTTGTTGTTGTTGTTGTTGTTGTTGTTGTTGTTGTTGTTGTTGTTGTTGTGTTGTTGTTGTTGTTGTTGTTGTTGTTGCTGCTGCTGTTGTTGTTTTGCGTCGCCCCCCCCCCGCGACCCGGTTCGCGACCCATCCGCGATCCACCCCGCGACCCGCCCGCGACGCACCCGCGACCCACCCGCGACCCACCCCGCGACCCACCCCGCGACCCATCGGCGACCCACCCCGCGACCCACCCCGCGACCCACCCGTGACCCACCCGCGACCCACTCGCGACCCACCCGCGACCCACCCGCGACCCGGCCCGCGACCCACCTGCAACCCACCCGTAACCCACCCCGCGACCCACTTTCATTGCATTGACGAAAAATTCGCTACTGTCTTCAACTCGCAGGCTGCCGACGTCCCCGCCGCCCCCTCAGTCTTATCCGCGACTGCGAGGTGCTACGTATGCAATTGTGAGTACCCAGAGGAGTACAATATACCGCTACTCTTGCTTTGTTTTCGCCTTTTTCGGGCCTCGTGGGAGGCCTTCGTCGCCACCGCTGGGTTCGCTTCCACATTCTGGTCAGATCGCTCCCTGGGAAAAGTTTGGGGAGTAGCGACCTCGGTGCCTTTTCGTTGCCTTCACTACGGCAAGGCAGGTAGAAGAAGGAGGGGGAGCTCCCTATTGTATGGGTCCGCGAAATTTGCGAGGTGTGTGCCGACATGGGAGCGGGGCTGCCATGCGGATCCTGCTGCTGGGTGGTGCCTGCGGTGGAGTTTTGACGCACCCAGTGGGGCTTTTGGCGGAACTCCCGATGGTATGGAACCATGAAACGTTCGAGGGGTGCGCCGAAAAGGGCGGTGAATTGGATGTGGACGCACGCGCACAGGCCTTAGATTGAGGTCCAGGTGGGACCACGAAACGTGTGACAGGTGCGCCGAAATTGGAGCGGAACTGCACGCGGACCCTTCGACTGGGGCCTTACGTGGAGCTCCCTATGGTACCACGAAGCTTGTGAGGGGTGCGCCGAGATGGGCGCGGAACCATATGTGAACCCTGCCACTGGGGCCTTCGGTGGAGCTGCTTGTGGGGCCACGAACCGTGTGAGAGGTGCGCTGAAACGTGCACGGGGCCGCCATGCGGACCCTGCCGCTGGGGCGTTAGGTGGAGCTCCTTGTGGGGCCACGAACCGTGTGAGGGTTGGGAAGATGATGCTGAGGAAAATGCTGCTGATGATGATGACGGTGATGATGATAATGGGGATGCTGATGCTGACGACGATGACGATAAGGACGTGCTGAGGACAGAGGCAGGGATCATAGGAGGGGGATGGGGACAATGACCCAACAACACAGGATGGTTTGACAAAAATCGTTACATCGCCCGCATAGCGGTGGTGCACGCAAGCCTCCGGTGTGCTGGTGATGCACACATGCGTACATGCGAGGGCTGCTGCACAGGTGAAATTTTTGTGCATGCATGGGCTTGCACGGGTGTTGCCTGCCATACGCGCGCCCCCCTTCGTTGTCGTTACAGCCCCCAGGATCGCCCTGTAACGCGCGTTACTGGGGCGGAGCTGGGCAACAGCGAACTCCTCCCTGAGGCTCCTCCCGCCCTCTCCCTCCTCCCCCCTTCCTCCCTCTGCAGAGAGGGCCGCCCTGCCGAGCAGGATCCCCGCACCCTGGGGCAGCCTCGGCAAGCCCAGCAGCGCCCGCGGGCGTTCAGCGGCGCCCACGGCCTCGCCTCGAGCTCGACAGGCCGTCCCGCAGCCCGTGGAGAGGGTCGAGGGCCGCCGCTGCCGCCGTCGCCGTCGTCGTCGTCGTCGGCGCCGTCGTCGTCGTCGTCGTCGGTCGTCGTCGCCGCCGCCGTCGTCGTCGTCGTCGTCGCCGTCGTCGTCGTCGCCGCCGCCGCCGTCGTCGTTGTCGTCGTCGTCGTCGTCGCCGTCGTCGTTGTCGCCGTCGCCGTCGTCGTCGTCGGGACGACGAAGAGCAGGCGCATGAGCTCAAACTCTCGGAGGTCCACCCCGATCTCTCGGGTTGGCGCCGGGCCTCCCTCCCCGCACCCCTCGCGCCGGCGCGCGGAGCGCGCTGGGGACGGAGCTCGGCTACGCGGAAGAGTTACCCTTCGCCAGAGTGACCTCAGGAGCAGGCCCACTGGGGCCCCCCGATCGCTAGGTGCGACGCGAGAGCAGCGGCATGCGAGCTTAGGTTTGGCCCCCTCCGCGTCTACCCGCAGCCGCGCACCAAAGGTCACTCTTGCACGGGGTCACTCTTGCGCGCAGCCGGGGGGCCGGAGGCGCCGCCTCAGGGTTCGGGGAGGGGATCCAGCGCCGACCAAAGAAATCTGCGCGGACCTGAAGTTGTGTTTATGCCGCTCATTGGTCCTCGATGGACGGGCTCTCTGCCCCGTTGCGTCCAGACCTGTCCCGTGCGCACGGCGCTGGGAAGAAGGCTTTTTGGCGTTATTCACCCCACCTTCCGCGCCTGTGCCTGCGTCTGCGCCAGGTCCTGTCCTGTTCTCCACTGTTGGTCCGTCCGCCCACTTGTGTGCCTGTCCTGTCCTGCGCGCCGGGGATCTATCCACATCCCGAGGATCTCACGGAGTGTGGAATATGGATATACGTGAGGGCTTCGCCCTCTGCTGGCTGCCCTTTCTCTGTGATATCTGGATGCTCTGGAGCTGTGTGGGGATGTCTGTGCACCGATTTGAGGCAATACTGGAGTCTCATTCGAGGACGGCTGGTAATCGTGACGTCACTAGCGCTTGCTTATTGCGAAGGCCTTACGGCCGGTGCCGCCGACCCTGTTCGCAATGCGCAGCAAGAGGCACGGGCTGTGGGATGGTTTTGGGGAACGGGGAGAAGGACGAGAAGGTGGGGGAGGGAGGTGTCGTATCTGACCCGGGACTTCCCCGGGACTCCCCCGGGACCCCCCCCGGGACCCCCCCTCCCCCCCCCGTCGGGGAAGGGAAAGGGAAGGGGCTTCCCTTCGACTCAATTACGACGTTGCTCAAGGTCGGTACGGGGGGGGGGCGTCGTATCTGACCCGGGACTCCCCCGGGACCCCCCCCGGGACCCCCCCTCCCCCCCCCGTCGGGGAAGGGAAAGGGAAGGGGCTTCCCTTCGACTCAATTACGACGTTGCTCAAGGTCGGTACGGGGGGGGGGCGTCGTATCTGACCCGGGACTCCCCCGGGACCCCCCCGGGACCCCCCCTCCCCCCCCCGTCGGGGAAGGGAAAGGGAAGGGGCTTCCCTTCGACTCAATTACGACGTTGCTCAAGGTCGGTACGGGGGGGCCGTCGTATCTGACCCGGGACTCCCCCGGGACCCCCCCCGGGACCCCCCCTCCCCCCCCCGTCGGGGAAGGGAAAGGGAAGGGGCTTCCCTTCGAATCAATTACGACGTTGCTGAAGGTCGGTTTGGCTAGCGCGCTTGAGGAGGAGGCCCTGGGAAAGGGCGAGGGGAGCGGGGAGGAGCCCAGGGGAAGAGGGGTACCAGGGAAAGGGAACGACAGAGACGACGATTACAAAGAATGACGGAGATGACGGCTCGAACGGAAAAGCCCCTCACACACGCCGACAGGGTCGGCGGATTTGCTCGTAAGCAACGAACAATCGCAGGTCTCGTCATGAATTTGTTCAAACTCGGTGTTTTATGTTTGTGCTATCAGGCACGACGTGAGTTGGAGGATTTCGTGACGTGATCGTTGTTTGTTCGTGACTGCTCGGCCGACCATCCGCTCGTGCATCCCTGGCAAGACCGCGCTGCGCAGACGCCGATCCTGGTCAGTCCCTCATGGCCCTCCCTTCTCACGACTCCGTTCTGAGTCTGCGGCCGCCCGCGCAGCTCGCGATGGTCTACGTTGTCTGAGCGCGCGCCTCTTTCCATGCCCTCACCCGTGGCCACCCTTTTCTTTGTTTTTCCCCATGTGCGCAATTCGCGTCACTGTAGCTCGGCTTCCGCTTCGACCGCGCTGAGCGACCGCCAGCGATAAGGCCAGTAAAAACGGCATGTTCTTTTCTGGTTCAGAGGCGAGCCTCGCGCGGCGGCCTTTGCTTAATCTCTTTGACATTCGGCTAGGTCCTAGTGTACCGTGCTCATGGCCTGGGCTCTGTAACATGCTATCTCGTCGCCGCTCCCGCAGAGGATTGTGTGGTAGCAGCCTTGCGCGTGGCCTGGTTTGTGTGCCCGCGTTTGACGAGGCCATTGCCGGCGTTCTCGTATGCCAGAGCGCCAAGTGTTTGGGAAGAGGAAGGTGGTCGCTGACCTTCAGGACCAGGTGGCGATGATGAGCGGTGGCAGGTCGTATCCCCTGATCTCCCAGCAGCCTCTTGCGTATACACCCTGCCAGATGCTTCCGCATTCGGCGAGACCATGGCCGAAGGTCCTGAGTGCCGGATCAAGAGACACTTTGGGAAGAAAACGGTGGCTCACGGTTCCTGCCTTGGCACTGTTCCGTCCCGTCCAGTGCAGTTGCGTTCCGTCTTGTCCTATCCTTCCCTGATCTGCCCAGTCCCATCTTGTTCTGTCCTGCCCTGCCCTGATCTGCCTGTCCGTCTGCCAGCACGGTCCTGTCCGTCCGTCCGTCCGTCCGGGTGCCGCGCATCGTTTTCGAGAGAATGCCCCAGGAGGGGGGGTCAGCCCTGCAGCTGCCTGGGGTCCACACCCGAACCCGTCCATCTGTTCAGAAAGCTTGGAAGAGGGGTGCAACTGTGTGGGGCAGCGGATTCGGAGGAAATCGGGGAACTGCGCCGTGGGGGTGTGGTTGGCAATGTTTGAGCATGTTGCGAAGGCCTTGCGGCTGGTACCGCCGACCCTGACGGCGGGACCTCCCCGAGGACCCCCGCTGGCGACCCCCCAGGGATCCAGGGGGGCTGGGCCGGGGGGGCGGTGTTCTGACCCGGGCCCCCGCCCGCCACCCCCTCCAGAGACCCCCCCCGCAGGGAGGAGAAAAAGGGGAGTGAGTCGACTTCATCACGACGTTTCTTTGTTGCTCAGTTTCCTGGGGACTGGCGGCGACGACGACGACGATGATGATGGTAATGCCTCTCGCACACGCCGAATGGTCGACGGATTTGGGCCTCCAGTGGACACCCTGGGAGCGGCTTGGGCACTCGGGAAAGTCGGTGCGCTCCTCAGACTCATCTCCCAGAATTGCTGGCCCCTTCGATGTGTTCCGTCGCAGCGGTGCAGCGCCAGCAACAGCGAAACGTTTCCCGCTCGGCGTGCTCCGTCTCTCCCCGCGGGTCGGGCGACGCCGGCTACGCACCAGCACCGATCCCAGCCGTCACAACTCTTGGGCCCAGGGTTCGCCTGGCTGGGACCTGGCTTGGTGTAGGGCTGGCGTCCCCCCCCAGGCAGCCACCTCCAGAACATGTTCACATCCAGTGCCTCGGGGCCGTGGCCTGGGACATGGGGGGGGATCTGTAACCAGACGTGGGCACCCGCTGGCCCCTGTCGGCGGAACGACATCCACGTCCACCGCTTCCCGGGGGACCCAGGGCAAGACTCCGACCGCTGTGGACACGGATGCTGTGCTCACCAGCTTCAGACACATCCTTGGCCAATGATCGACATCATCCTCGCTCGATGCCTACCTCAAATATTCCCTCCTCCGAGAGCACACCCCCAAGAATGCCATCGCCTGGGGCCTGTCAATCCAAGGGGCAGGGATGAGCTCGAGGCCTCTTAGCTCTGGCGGTGCGCAGCGGGCCTCCGTTTGCGGTGCGCCCGCCTAGCCGGGGCCGCAACCCCCTGCCCTCCCTCCTCCCTTGCGGCGAGGCGGGCGCTGGCGGACCCCCTGGCGCGAGCTGCGAGCCCGCACGGTCGAGCAGCCGGGCCAGCTCCGAGGAGGCCCCCAGCTTGGGCGACACGGTCAGCCCGCGCAGGAAGTTCGAGGCCTTGCGGGACCAGGCGCTCCTCCCTGTCCCCCCCTGAGGATCGACGGTGGTGGTGGTGCAGCTGTGTGGTGCAGAGGCGCGCGCTATAAACAGTGTTTTGGCGGTGTCGTTGCCCATTCTCGATCCGATCTCGCCTTGCAGCAGAGGCGGAGCGAAGACCGAACGGGGGAAGCGAAAAACATGGTTCGGCTTGAGCCTTGGTGTGGTGGCTCCCTGGGTTGCTGCGGCGCGTGGCTGCGCTCCGAGGGCCCTGCGGCGCGTGGCTCGCCCGCCCGGGCAGCCTGCGGGCTTGAGCCGCTCGGCCCACACGGGCCTCGGGGCGGCCGCGCTGCCCCCGCGCACGTCCGGTGCTTCTCAGTGGTCCTCGCAGGAGCAGAGGGGGAGCATGGAAGGGGGGAAAGGAGGGGGAGGGGCAGGAGGGGGAGATCAGGGTGAGAAGGACAAGGGAAGTAGACGGATGATGACAGTGATGATGATGCTGATGATGATGGTGATGATGAAGACGATGATGATGACGATGATGATGATGATGATGATGATGATGATGATGATGATGATGATGATAATGATAATGCTGCTGCTGCTGATGTCCATAATGATGATGATGATAATGATGATGATGATGGCCATAATGATTGTCATGATGATGCTGATTATGACAATGATTATGATGATGGCGATGATGACGACGATGATGCTGATGCTGATGACGATGATGATGGTGGTGATGATGATTATGATGGTGGTGATGCTGATTATGATGATCATGA